TGAACCCTTTGTGTCTCTCTGGCAAGATGTTCTGCTCCTGAATCAGCTGTGTGGGTCTTGCCTCTAGCCTCCTTCCAGGGAGTTCTGCTGAAGGATTCCCTGCTGGGCCTGCAGCCTGGGCCAGAAGAGGATCCCTGGGCCAGGGAAGTCTCACTCACTTGCCAGGCCTGCACTCTGGGTCTGTTCAGGATCCCGCGGCCTCTGTCGCCTCACTCACTCACCGGGCCTGCACTCCGGGTCTGTTCAGGATCCCGCGGCCTGGGTTGTCTCACTCACTCGCCAGGCCTGCGCTCCGGGTCTGTGCAGGATCAGGCGGCCTGGGTCGTCTCACTCACCCGCTGGGCCTGCACTCCAGGTCTGTTCAGGATCCCGCGGCCTCTGTCGTCTCACTCACCCGCCGGGCCTGCGCTCTGGGTCTGTGCAGGATCCCGCGGCCTGGGTCGTCTCACTCACTCGCCCGGCCTGTGCTCCGGGTCTGTGCAGGATCCAGCGGCCTGGGTCGTCTCACTCTGAGACACAATATTATCCCTGAATTTACCAAGGTGTTACAAAACAAAAGATCTCTGAATTTGTATGGGACTGACAGTACAAAGAATATCTTGCTTACCACAGTTTGGGGATCAAATGAGTTAGGACTTACTTATGACCAGGTGTACTGTCCTCTGGTTAGCTGTATCACCAAGGTCTTACTGAATACTTAATAAATCAGATCTTATCTATGGATATTTATAAAGAGCAGACAATCTTCACAACAAAAAACTGAAAAATTATGTGCAATTTATTGGCACCTATTTGTTGGGAACTTTGTCAGATTCACCAAGAACTGTGAAGCTCCAAGGCTGGATGTTTCTTGGGCCAAAATGAACCACTCCACTTCAGTGCTGAGCAGGGCCAATGGAGCAGTAAACAATGTCTCATAGCAAAGTAGTGTCACATCATGTATGACTTTGTGGAGTATTTTCATGCAAACATTTTCAACAAATTTTAAAAAGTATCAAAAGACAAATATGACATGAAGAATCATTGTATATATATATATTCTAAATATGTATATAACATCATGAAATAATGCAGGGACGTTTGGCACACATCCCAAGGTATTAAAATGTGATTACTGTACGCAGTTCCCTAGGAAACACTAAGCAGTTCTTCCCAAATTAACATACATATTCAATATCTTGCTTTCTTAACTGGAAGAGAGTTTCACGATACCTATGAACAGTCAACGTGAGAGTTCTAAAGCCCATGAAAAATGAATTATGCAAAATCCCCTTAGGAATATTACAGATGCAAGACAGAGAAATATGCAACCAGGTATCAAAGAATAGCATTATCATCATACTAAAAGAAGAAAACTTTTTAAAAACAAAGTAGTTCAATGTATATGAGACTCAGAAATATGCAACTGCTCAGAAAAGGTAAGGTTCAAAATTAGGAAAAGTATTTGAGAAGTCAGTGTTGAGAGAAATTAAAGTGAACAACATAATCCAAATTGAAGAAATGACTGATTATATACATAATTCAAAAACAATCCAGACAAAATTCAAATTAAAAACATGATTATTGAAATGAATAGCTTTTGGATGACTATCAGAGAAGAGGTACATGTCCCTTGTTTACTTAAATACATTTTATGCCTCAAATTAAAATATGATGGGCAAAGTTGTACAGAATTGGCTAAGAATTTTTCTGCATAGGAATAAAAACAATATGTTTTAACTTGAGAAGAACACTTCCTTCAAGATTTTATTTTGCTCCTGAGTCCATATAAAGAATTTCTCTCTGGTCTTAACAAAATAATGAAGCATTTAGGGGCAAAGATGCAGCCCAACAGCCCTGCACCAGAGGCCAAGATGGAGAAGACTTCCATGGCCACCATGGCCTTCCCCTTGCTGCTGTGGTACACAGGCAGGAAGGTGACCCACACGCTGCAGAACACCAGCATGCTGAACGTCAGGAACTTGGCTTCATTGAAGGTGTCAGGCAGGTTCCTGGCCAGGAAAGCCACAGGGAAGCTCACCATGGCCAGGGAGCCCAGGTATCCCAGGACACAGTAGAAGGCAGTGAGGGAGCCCTTGTTGCACACGATGATGATGTGGCCATGTTCAGAGTGTGTATCTGTGTCAATGTAGGGTGGATTTGTCCCCATCCAGATGCCACAGAGTGTGAGTTGGATCAGGGTACAGAGTGGGATGATGCAGTTTGGTGCCCCTGATAGCAGCAACTGCCTCATTCTTCCTGGGCCAGTGACCTTAAAGGCCAGTACTACAGTAATTGTTTTGGCCAAGACGGTAGAAACAGCTACAGTGAACACAAATGCAAATGTGGTCTGTTGGAGGATGCAGGTGGCTGTGCTGGGACGGCCAATGAAGAGCAAGGAGCAGAGGAAAGAGAAAGTGAGGGAGACCAGGAGGGTGTAGCTAAGCCCCCTGTTATTTGCCTTGACGATGGGAGTGTCTCCATGCTTTATAAATAGTCCGAGAATGACAACTGTGAAGACAGTGAGACTTAGGGCTGCACCAAGCAGAGTCATCCCCAGCAGGACTTCATAATTCAGAAATATTGTAAGCTTTTGCAAACAATGGTTTTTTGGGCTGTTAGCATACTGATGATCTGGACACTTCATGCACTGTTCCATATCTAATGGGAAGTTTAAGTTATCATTAGCAGCAACTCAGTATTTTCTGTTTACAGATCGCACTCAAAGAATTTCTCAATTAGTTGAGCCAAATTTCCTCCTGCTTTTATTAGACACAAAGAATATTGTACAGGAAAGAATTCTGCGGTAATACTGATATCTTCCATCTGGAGTTGTAAGGCACATTATTCATTTTGCTTATTAATCTTTCATACTTTTAAGAGCAACTATCTCTTTTCACAAACACAAACACCTATCTGTGTCAGTCCTCTGTAGTTAGTGTACTTTGTATTCATTCTCTGTGCAACCATGTATTAATAAATCACCATGATATTTCTCAGTACCAGGGAAATATTATCAGCAGTAATTTCTGTCTTGTACATGAAGAATTTTAACATTTTAATATAGAAATTTTTATGAGGAGACATACAGTAATTTTGATTACACCTTGTAAGAGTCAGCAAATGGAGTGGGAGAGAGCTGCTGTTCTTTCTTTCTTTTTTTAAGGTTTTATTGATAAACATAGCAATGAGACAGTTTCAAATCTAATCGGAAGTACAGTTTCAACAAATAATACACTGCATATACTCTTCTCAGTGGTTAATTGCTGTACAAGAAGTGGACTTGTAATCCTATTTACAAACACCATTAGAACAAATCATTCTATTCATTAAGAGAATGCAACTATATATCTATCCTAGCCACTTTGAAAACACAGAGACAAAATAGACAATCATCGGTATACCCCATTTTTTCGAAGTTCCAGTATTGAATATTATAGGTGTGTAAAGTCAGCAAAATATTCT